GTCTCGTGAGGCTCTCCTGTACTATTTGATAACCAATAAGTGTTTCTTCTAAGCCCTTATGACCATAAAAATGTATGATCTTCTGTTTCAGCTCAGGTTTCAACAGGTTGCTAATATATGATATTTTTGAATTCCCAGGGGGTACTGAGGTTGACTTCCTCCAAAAGACAAAAGATCTTGGACTTCAATAAAATCATTGTCCAACTTAAGAAATGTTAATTCTTCTCCGAAAATCACTTTAGCGCCATCAACCTCTAGGTACTGCTTTGTAGCTAACCTATCAAATAGTTATTGTAAATAAATTAAGTAGTTGTAGCTGCTGCTATTTCCTTATTAGTTAGTATATGACTTAATAGTCATGGAGCTCTGAGATATTAGTCTCCCGCTTTCAGCCTTTTATAAAGCACGATGGCTAATGATGGCTTTGAACCAATTCTAAATTACAGCTGATGAGCTATCATAAGATATGCTAGGATCCTCTGAGTCTTCACTAATTACACACCTTAGTTGTTTTATGGGCTCAGCTCCCTCTGAAAATTTTTGCTACCATTCATTACTGTTGTGACTCTTTAAGTGTCTTCAAGGACTTTGAATGAACTGCGGCTTCTTCAATTGATCAATGATACTCCTTAGATCTACTTCAACAGCATTGATAGATGCTGGGAAAGGATCCTCATTAATTAACATCTTTTCTTTGTCAGGGAACCTCAATACTCCTCTGTTAATACGATCCGATAGAGCATTCTTGAAACTCAAACAATTATTAGTATTATAGTTCCAAAAATCATGGTACATACAGTATTGCTTGCCCTTCATCTCTTCTTTTGTTGATAGCTTATGACCAGATGGAAGAGATATAAACTTTTCTTTCATTAAGAAATCAAATATCTCCTCTATCTTAGAAACATCAAATGTGAATTGAGTCTCTAAACTGAATTTCTTCTTTTGAGGACCTGTCTTTATTGGAGCTCCAAGGTTTGGATACATAAAGGAACATGAATTCACCAAGTCAGCCACAATTATTTCCTAATGAAGCTCATGATAGTAAGTTCCTGGTGACCTTCTTTTCGTCTGTGATTCTTTTTTCAGGAGCTCTTCATATTCTCTTACCTTAGCTACCAACTTATAGAAATCTCTAAACTCCATCCCTTAGAATTTCTTTCTCAGCTTGAAGTCCAAGCCTCTCTGAGCCATCTTGACAAACTTGTGTTCAGGTAAGAACGCCTTACACAGCTTCTTAAACCTTACAATAAATAAGTCAGCTGTATCTCCACTTCTCTGTGTCAGCTTTGATAACTCAACCACACAAACCTCTAGCTTAGCCCTAAAGAACTGGGAATGGAAGAGGTGCTTCATCTCATACCATGAATTGACTGAGTTCCTCGGAAGTGTCGAATACAGGTGAAAGTTGTACCTGTCAAAGATTTAGGAAACAATCACAACTTATATTTAGCAAAATTCTCCAAATTGGCGAGTTCACCACATTGGGTTGTGAAAACTAGCTATATGATCCACGGCTAATTGTCCATCTTCTCAAGAGAATAATATGAAGTCTGGAATTCTGTACGCCCTGGGGCAAGGGTCCTCTCTGTCGATTATTTTTGAATAAGGCTTCATAAACTCTTAGTGGCCAACCTGCCTAAGGCCAAGCCCATACAGCTCTTGCACAGCATCCCTCAGAACATCCATGGTGACTTGGGGAATTTGAGGAATAGGATTAGTTGTCGCTTGAGGAACCATAGTGATACTAGTGTATGTATTATGGGGAGCTACATTAAAGGCAAACCTTCTAGTTCCTTGGATTCCTTCCATGCCTGTCAACGACTGAGGAGTATGAGAAGCCTCAGCCTCATAGACAATTGGGTTAGTCATAGTACTAGTGGTCCCAAAAATAATGATAGGAGTCAATGTAGGCCTGTTAGTGGGGCAACCTGTCTGGAGTGGTGCCTTTGATGGATGGTGCACTAGCTCCTCTCTCCGATGTGGTGGTTGATACCTCTCTTCAGTAAGAGCACGACCACTGTCAGTGCCCCTTAAGGGACTTTGAGGTAGTTACCCCCCCAGTTTTTTGGCACACTTGAATGAAGATTCATTCTCCTCCTTAGCAAAAGACTTGCTAGTAGGAGATCGATTGACAAGTGAGTCCACAACATCAATCTTCCTTCCAGTGACCTTCTCCATGAAGATATTCATGGTTTGCAACAATTTAGCTATCATCTGACTATTATTCCTTTGTGCTTCCAGCATCGCATTCACATTAGAAGAACTAAAGTTAATGACAACATCATTAGAAGCAGAAGGTATTTTACCTTAGCGTTTATTGAGATCATTAGAGGTAAGTGCAACTTCTGGGGGATTTTGAGTAGGAGAGTTGATTTCTCCTTCCTCATGAGGAGATGCTCCTCTTTCAGGGCTTCCTAGGCCTACTCTCGTAGGTCCTCCATCGAATCCAGAGAGCTAGTAGCAATTTCTTTTTCAACAACAGAACAAGTTTTTCGAGTCATGATGTTCTCTCAAAACTCAGGTGAAAGATAGAATGTACAAAAGTGGTCCCAGCAAGCGTGCCACTAAAGATTGTTGGTTCTTTTTTGAGAAAAGAGCAACGAATCCACTGGCTGACGGCTTGAGTTGGAGAATTGCGAGTGTGCTAGTGTGTGAAGCACACCAACTGAAGAATTAATATCGTGCTTGATCTAAATTCTAGGCTGTGGGTTTGGATCCACAGTAAATGCTTCACCGGTTGTGCAGTTTAAAATAAATTTGAACAAAGAAAATTGTAAAGAGAGTTTGATTGCTTGAAAAGTAAATTTTGATTGCTTGTATTGAAATGAAAGCTTGTAATTATAGGACTCATAAATAAAGTGTGCTTAGAAAAAATAAAAGACAATACTTTGAAAATTAAATTGCTTGACTCATTGGAGAGTTTGATTTGGTTTGTTGAATTTGTTGGAGAATTTGGTTGGGCTTCTCTTGGTGCTTTTATAGTTTCCACAAACAGTTATCAAAAGGAGCCACTAAAGGAGCCACTGACACACATTCCCATTAACTCCTTTGATCTCTCACCTTCTTGGATGTGGGCAACTGCTTGAGGAGTGTGCTTGACGAGTGCTCTTTTTGTTCAACTACAACCCACTTTTCTATTCTCTCTTTCTTTATTTAATTAATTAACTAATTATTAAAAACTAATCGCCCAAAACAATATTAATTGGATCCTAATTAAATAAAATCCAAGCCCAATCCAAAATATTAAGCCCAATTCTAAAAAATCACAAAATGGATTCAACAAATACATATAACCCAAGTCGTACAAATTGAATAAATAGTAATTCAAACTTTGGTCAACTTGACTTGAATCCATTATATGTCTTCCATTATGTATTTAATCTTAACGCAATTATTTAAACATCAAGATAATGTCATTAACTTAAATCAAAATCCATGTAATATATAAAAGGAGAGTGAGATATATATTAATTATATAGCAATGCATCCTTTCATTCCTTAACATGATATTAAAAAATACATATTAAAAATAAAAAATACACACACATATATGTATAATTAAAAATAAAACTTTTCTTTTTATACAAGTATAATCTCAATTTTTTACGAAAATTTATCTATTAAGATGAGATAAAAATGAGAATGAGAAATGACACCGTTATAAATCTTATTATCATTTTTAGGAATAGTGTGTGTATTTTTTTGATACAAGTCATACCATGCATGATTTTTGTTATACCTTGGTGAAACACTTTTGCAAATTACTTAAAAAGACACATTTTAATATTACAACTTTTTTATCATATCTTAATGAGATATAATTTTCTTATTTTTTGAATGCTGTAATAAAAGATATTTTCATTTAGGGATAGAAGTGAGACGAGTATTTTCGAGTATGCACCCGCTTCAATCTATTTAATGAAGGTATAGATAGTTATAAATGTGTTTTAGGTAGATATGAGTGGTGGAATTACTAACCATAATAGATACGGTAGCGTACGAATATTAGATTCTGTGTGTCTGCTATGCATTATCTGCTATAATAAATAGTTTTGGCTGTGGGTACCCGTGGGCACTCTACCCATTTATTAGTGAAAAATGCATTTTAAATAAATTCATGTTTGGATAGTTTAAAATGTGCGGATACCCTATCCATTTAAGGGGTACTTTAAACGGGTTTGTGATGAATTTGAGTAGTAAAATTTTAAATGGGTTTAGATATGGATAATTAAATGGATATTTAAATGTTGAGATGGATACAATAGTAAAATTTTAAACGAATATGGACAGTTCAAAATTCATTAATATATGCCCAGCTTCCCTCCCTAATTTCATTTTGTTCCAACACTAATTTGTTTAAAAATCAAATTTTTATACAAGTACCATCCTAAATTTACACCAAATAATTAAAAAGCCCTGATTAATGAAATAATATAATATTTTTAATTAACAAAAATTATTTAATTTAAAAACAAAACATCTAAAGAAAACCTGAAAAATATTTGGTACTTTTAACTAATACAATGTATTAGTTAAAATATTAAAAATTATTGTTTTAATTTTATTTTTAGTAAAAATTTTGTATTTTCGATCATTGACCGCAAAGGTGAGAGGTAGTTATACAAAAAAAATTGATTTTTGTAAAAATTGTATATTACCCTAAGTTCAGAGGGTAATTTAAGCGTTATTTTAATTCAAAACAATAATAAACAATTATTTAATTAATACTTTTATATACAACAGTTGAATTATTTTATAATACAATGATTCAGAAAATAAATGTATAAGTTCTTAACAATTCAAGATTATAAATTTTTTTATGAAGAATTAGGTTCTTTAATAAAAAAAGATTTAAAATGTATAATCTTAGGATATAAATTATAGTAAATTTCAAAACATTTTGACACGAAAATTTATTGAAAAATTTTATAACTTAAACTGTTGGGTCATTAATAAATCAGAGACTATAGAAATACTTAAGAATTATCCCAAAAAAAAGCGTCAAAACCCAAATATATTTAAAGGTATGAATTTCAATAATTTTTTTTTTAAGAACGAAAGTTAACAATAAAAGTTTTCCAGACATCATTACTACGTATCACATACATATACACACGTGCACACAGAACAGGAGAAAAAGTTGGTCTTAAGACAGAAAACAACGTTTTCATTGTTTAGAACCGTTGCTTGATTTGCATACCGTATTGTCCTGAAGGTTTTCCAGAATTTTAACCACATCTTTTATGTCTGGCCGAAATTTTGGCTCCCCTGATACGCATTCGTATGCAAGTTGAGCTACTTTTAATGCACTGCTTCCCGAATGCTCACCTAAAATGGCAGGATTCAAAATTTGGGAAATTTTGCGTCTGTCAGTAATGCTTCTTGCCCACGTACCTAGATGTCTTTGTCCAGATTGCCTGTTCCATTCTATTGCTCGTCTTCCAGATAACATTTCAAGAAGAACAACCCCGAAACTGTATATATCACTTTTTTTGCTAATATGACCTTCATAAGAAACAACAAAGTGACAAAAAAACAAGATAAGAGTTCCATTTTTTTTTCTTATATAGTACTAGAGTGAAATAGAAACCAAATGATACCTGCCCGGATGTATTCAGGTGCTGCATACCCTTGGCCATAACCCCCCATGACCCGTGTAGTGACATGGCTTTTACCTATTGGCCCATCCTTAGCCAATCCTAAATCACATAGTTTGGCATTATAGTCCTGTCATTTTTACAATATGAGTAAAGAAAATGTGTTAGTTATAATATTTCAATTCCATAACTCCCTCATAAACCAAATTCAGTAATAGAGCATTTTCACATACTGAATCAAGCAGGATATTCGAAGATCTAAAATCTCGATGTATTACATCTGCCTTATCATGAAGAAATGCCAGACACTTGGCAGCACCAAGGGCGATTTTCATACGGAGATTCCAAGAGAGTGGTTGAATGTGAGAATCCCCTGCTCCCACAAAACATATTTGAGGTCGGGAGAAAACTTGCATGTTCAGTTAGAAGATTGAACAACCAATCAGTTACTCACTTCCTAATAGACGATTCTCCAAGCTGCCATTGGGCACAAACTCATAGACCAGAAGTCGATGGTCATCCTCCAAGCAGTAACCAATCAGTTTCACTAGATTCGGATGCAATAGCTGCCCCATGTATTGACTATTGTTCATGAACCGTAACAAAAGTCAACAGAAATAGGCAGATAAGCTCAAATGATGGAGAAAGAATACTTACCAACCATTCTTGTTGACCTCGGTTGTCACGTAGCCTCTTTACAGCAACAGGCATTCCAGTGTCAGGCCCTGGTGGCTTTACAGAAATAGCCATGCCTGTATCAGGCCTAGAAGGCTTTAATGAATGCTCATCAATCCACCCTTTGAAGACAGAACCAAAATTACCTAACCCGGTCTGAAGTTACTTGTTGCTTCTTTTAGTTCACTAAAGCCAAAGCTCTTCCAATTGGGTGACTCTAGGATCTGACCATTTGTTTGCGTAGTTGAAGGCACTGTGTCAGAAGAGACCTTGCTGCTTGACTTACTCATATCATTCCCACCTTTGCAAAGACATTTAAGGTTCATGTCAATAGACATTAACGAGTGGTGCACAAACACACACATGCTTATATGATTACATGATTGAGGAGTAATAGTTATGATAGGACCAGTATATACTAAATTTATGCTAAGAGATTAAAGCTGGAAAAGATTAGTGGTGCTTGATGATCTAATTTGAAATGCTGTTAACCATCCGTCATACTTTATATCCAAAAAGAATACTTATACCCTAATAATATGCTATACATTGTTTGTTCTTAATATTTTTATGAAAATAACTTAGAGATCATTTTGAAAGATATTAACCCATACTTTTGGGGATGATTTATCTGCACTTGGACCGTATTCTCCGTATTCTTAACAAAGACCTGCAAATCTGATAGGTGCATGGGGTTTTGTCCATTTTACTAAAGAGGGAGCTGGATTAGAATTATTTGAATTCATTGAGAAGTGCAGATTGATCCTCAGATGGTATTTGGTAATTAAGAAATCTAGAATTTCTGCTAAACCAGTACTAATGCCATTTTTGAGTGGATATTATCGTGAGAACAAGTGAAATTTCAGTCTTCACATGCCCCTGAACTAGAGTTTAATATCGGCTTTAACGGTCTGAGGTCAATGGTAACTTATGTCCATCATTCTCTTAACTAAGACAACATCAGCTAACTTTTATTCCAGTTTTTCTATTTACTTTCTATGTATTTACTCATCTGACAATATTCCTGAAAAATTAATTATGTTTGTGTCAGAGAGAGAATTTTCCTAAAGCATAGCCAAATTTGTCAACTTATTTGGTGAAAGCCAAGTAGAATTTAGAATGGCTATAAGTTATCTTGAAAACTTCTTAAATCAAAAGCCACATGCCAACTCAAATCTATTGGAGATAAGAGTTAACAGATATTGATAAAGTTTGTTTAGGTTGTTATGGATAGATAATTTCTGTTGTAATTTATTTTGTAACCATATACTATTCAGTATAGGACTCTTCTTGTATTTAAACAGCATACTAATGACAATACGATTATCTCTTCTTTTCTATAGCCTTATGTATATGGTATCAGAGCACAAAGCTTAAAAGGCTTTTTCCGATCCAATCTCTGATTTTCTTTCAATCTCTTTCCTCTTTACTTTGATATGGCTTCAGGTAGCGGCACTGTTTTTCATTCTTCTGGGCGTTCTCTTGTAACAATGGTGCACAGCTGCTCTAAACCACTGCTACGAATTATCCAATTATCCAACTTGGAGGGCTCAAATTGTACCACTGTTGAAAGGACATAGCTTGATGAAATATGTCCTAGGTACGGTACCTGTACCTTCTGCTACTATTGCTGATAAGGGAGGTCTACAGATTTCAAATCCAGATTATGAATTTTGGGAGTGTCAAGATCAATTGATTCTTGCTACTATTCGAGCCTCCCTTTCTTTTTCGATCATGAATGATATTGCAGATGCTGATACGTCCGCGGATGCATGGAGAAAGCTACAAATGTCCTATGCCAATAAGTCTGCCACCAGAGTTTTATCTCTGCGAGAGAAACTTGCTAGAACGAAGAGAGAATCTCGTTCTTATTCTGAATTATTTAACAACGATTAAGAGTATTTGCAGAAGAGCTGTCGTGTGTGCGGGCGAGTCCAATGAGATGATGTAGATCTGTTGTTCAGGTTCTGATGGTGTCCGGCATCTGAAATTCGGGTTGCAATCGCAGCGGCAATCATGCCAGAGAGACCAAATCGTTAGTTTTGGAAGAACATACCAAGATAAGTTATTAGCTTATGAGATGTATTTGAAGCAGGTTAATTCCAAATTATGATGTTCTCCTTGTTACTGCTAATTAATATTCGCAAGCACTGCTGCTGGAAGGGAGCTCTAATTCACAGGGCAATTTTTATCGTCAGTCTGGTGGAAATTCCTCTGAGTGAACGTGTTTTAGATGTTAAACGCCAAGTCTCAGTTCTCTGGATCCCGTTCTACTGTTCAATGTCAGTTGCCGAGTGGTTGGGCATGATTGTTAAAGACTGTTTTTAGAAGCCAAACCGGGATACTTTGCCCAAATGATTGCTAGAAAAAAGCTCAAGCTAATGCTACAAGTGTGCAATGCTACAAGTGTGCAGTCCCAGAATTCCCAGCCATGGTTGCTTGATTCTGCAGCATCGCATCATGTCACTAATGACTTGAATAACTTATCTCTTCATTCGGCATATGATGGACCAGATGAACTACAGTTAACTGATGGGTCAAGTTTGTCCATTACTCGAACTGGTTCTGGTATTGTGTCCTTACCATCGAAAAAGTGTCTTCTTCAAAATGTCTTATATGTGCCTAAAGCAAAATCTAATCTTATTTCTGTTCCTCAGTTCTATGAATCTAACCAAGTTTCCATTGAATTTTTCTCTCATTTTTATTTTATTAAGGATCAGTTCACGGGGGAGATTCTGTACAAAGGCAAACTTGATCAGTCTTTTTATAAGCTTCGTAGTATGGGCTCTTTTGAAAGTCATCATGTTCGGTTATCTTCTGTGTCATGGCATCAACGGCTTGGACATCCAAGTTCGAAAATTCTTCATTCTGTTTTGTCTAAACTTAATATTCCTGTGACTATTATTAAGGATAGTGTCTGTGATCCTTGTCGTTGTAATAAAAGTCATAGGTTACCTTTTGGAGTATCTTCTTTGGTTAGTAGCAAACCATTAGAACTTGTTTATACTGATTTATGGGGACCTGCACCAGAAATTTCTTTGGATGAGGGGCCCTGCACCAGAACTTTCTTTGGATGAATTTCGATATTATATTATTTTTGTTGATCACTTCACAAAATATATCTGGCTGTATCCATTAAAAATAAAATCTCAGGTTATCGAAATTTTTCCAATCTTTCAAAAGCTTGTAGAAAACACCTTTAACTCCAAAATTCAAACTATATATTCTGATGGTGGGGGAGAGTATGTTGCTCTTAAAAAATATTTTCAACAACAGGGAATCAATCACTTGCAATCTCCTCCTCACACACCTCAACATAATGGTGCGGCTGAACGTCGTCATCGCCATTTAGTTGAAACAGGGCTTACTTTGTTACAAACAGCCTCTTTACCCATGAGTTTTTGGAGTTTTGCTTTTCGTACTGCAGCTTACTTAATAAATCGGTATCGGTTACCTACATATGCTTCTTAAACTAGTCTCTCCCTATGAAAAATTGGTTGTCAAAAATCCCTTAAAAAATTATACCTCTTTACGAGTATTTTGAATGTCTTTGTTATCACATGCTTAGACCATACATGAAAATAAGTTTGATTAATCGATCACTTTTCCTTGTGTATTTTTAGGGATATTTCACCAAACAAAGTGCTTATCTTTGCTTATCATATTGGAATCTGGGAAAATTTTTTTGAGTCTCACCATGCTTGGAGTTTGTGAGTTTGTTGAAAATAAGTTTCCCTTTTCTGACAAAAATTCGGCTACAGATTTGTCTGAGACTAGTTGGTATGATTTTTCTACTGAACCAGTTACTTCTATTGTTCCTTTTCTTTCGCCGAATATGTCTGTGGATGAGTCTATTTCAAGTTCTACTGCTCCAGTGTCTTTAAGTCCAACACCGATAGAGTCTATGCCTACTAGTGTCGACATACAGTCATTTCCAACACCTGTTAATCTTCATCGTATGGTCACACGTTCCAAAAATAATATTTTCAAGCCGAAAGTTTTACATTCAGTTACCAAGCATCCTTTATCTTCATTACCAGAACCTAGTTCAGTTAAACAAGCCTTAGCTATTCCTGATTGGCGACAGGCAATGACATCCGAGTTTAATGCCTTACTTGATAATAATACTTGGGTGCTTGTTCCATATGATTCTGCTTATAATCTGGTCAGTTGTAAATGGATTTTCAGGGTGAAGAAAAATGCTGATGGATCTTTGAAATGGATTTTCAGGGTGAAGAAAAATGCCGATGGATCTTTGCAGAGATACAAAGCAAGACTAGTTGCTCGGGGTTATAGTCAGCGACCTGGTGTTGATTACAGTGATACATTTAGTCCAGTTGTCGAACCAGTGACAATTCGGTTGGTGCTTACTCTAGCAATTACTAAAGCTTGGCCAATTGTTCAACTGGACGTGAATAATGCATTTTTACATGGTCCTTTGACAGAAGATGTTTATATGCAGCAGCCACCAGGTGATCCAACAAAAACCCACACATGTTTGTAAGTTTGAATTAAAGCACTTTATGTTAAAGGCAAGCACACGTGCTTAGTATCAAGCTTTAAAGAGCTTTTACTGTTTGTTGCCTATGGTTTTTCGGTTATCGGCGCATGTGATCATTCCCTCTTTTATTATATTAAAGATGGGTAATTGTTATTTTCTTATCTATGTAGATGACCATAGTAATTTACTGGAAATTAAACAATGGTTAACAATGGGTTTGTTCAGAGTTTTGTGCAAGCACTTGGGAAGCGTTTTTCTCTGAAAGATCCGCAACCACTGTCATTATTTCTTGGTATGGATGTGCGACAAATAAATGGAGGGATTTTCTCAACTCAACATCACTATATTCAGAAATTGCTTGAGCACGCAAAGATGGATGGCGCGAAGGAGATTTCTACTCCAATGGCTTCGGATATACAGCTCCAAAAATAAAAAAATGAGACTTTACCTGTTGATGCTACTGCCTATCGAAAATTAATTGGAGGATTGCAATATTTAAATCTCACTCGGCCGGACATCGCTTTCACTGTGAACAAATTATCACAGTATATGCAACATCCGAATGCCGACCATTGGCTGGCGTTAAAGAGACTACTTACTACGGTATCTGAAATCCACAATTTTATTATGGAATTTCAATCATAAAGCAAGCTGATTTTTGGGTTTCATGCATACTCGGGTGCTTGATTGGGCAAGCGATCCTTCGGATCGGAACATCAACAACCGGATTTATCTTATGATCTTTGGTAAGGTTCCAATTAGTTGGAAGCTTCTAAAAGCAAAGACAGTTGCTCGGTCCAGCACAGAAGCTGAATATCGCGCGTGTTGCAAGTACAGATCTGAGGTAAAATGGGGTTACAATCTTGCTAAGAGAACTCGGACAAGAAGTAGACACCCCTGTTATTTTACTTGTTGATAAATATCTCTACTATGTGTATCTCTACTATGTATACATGTCAGAATCTAGTGTTTCATACCAGAATGAAACATTTGGAGATTGATATTCATTTTGTCCGAGAAATGGTCCAAAGAGGTGAGATTAGGGTCACGCACATTTCTTCCAAAGATCAGTTGGCTGATATAACTAAATCTCTGTCTAAGGTAAAGTTTCAACAAAATCGGGCCAAGATAGGAATCCACAATGGATTCTTTATCTTGCGGGGAGTATTGGAGATAAGAGTTAATATTGATAAAGTTTGTTTAGGTTGTTATGGATAGATGTTGTTATGGATAGATAATTTCTGTTGTAATTTATTTTGTAACCATATACTATTCAGTATAGGACTCTTCTTGTATTTAAACAGCATACTAATGACAATACGATTATCTCTTCTTTTCTATAGCCTTCTGTATAAAATCAACAATGTCTTAATGACAAAGACTCAAACTAACTGGAACCAACATTATTTCTATATTTCATCTCATCCACCAATTTCAGGTATTCACGTTGCCAAATTTGATTAGACACTCATATTAACCCAAAAGAGCACAAGTAAACAGCAAAATTCTCTGATGGTGAATAGTGAACCAAAGTTTTTCATTTTTAGCAAGAAAGTAATCAACCAATGGCATAACTATCAGCCAGTGCATAATTTGATATCAAAACAACCATTCAGGTCCTAAAAATTGAAAAAGAAAATCACTTATGTTTTTATACCCTAGCTTTTCTCAGCAACCAAACAGAGCATTAAATACCACTCGCTTTTCCTCAAGCCACCAAACAGAGATTAGTTGTCCCCTAATACCCAAAGAAAAGAAATAACATTCAACAGAGAATTGATTGTGTCTGGCAAGTCCTAAAAAGGCTGGAAGTTCTTTGATAAGAAAAGTGCAATTGAAAACTTACCATGGTGAAGAATCACCCTCTGCAGTGTTGCCCTGCACTAAAACACCAAGGCACAACCCAGTGAAGAATTGAGAGACAAAGATATCGAAATCTTTACATCTTACTGGATCACCCAGGCTCGCAACTAAAAGGAATGTGCCCTTTAGACAGATCGAATCTTTACTCTTCTGGATCACAAGGCTCAGCAACTAAAGGATGGCCCTTTAGACAAAAAGTGCCAATCACTTCATGTTGTAAGAGAAGAAAAGCTAATTTCGTGAATCCCAATCGGCAATAATCGTCGATTGCATTTGCAAAGTTTTGACTCAGAAAAGTCAAGCAAGTCAACCACCAGAGGAGGAGGAGGCGAGGAGCGAAGTAGAATTCTGAATTGAATTTTTCAAAAGTTCAAATGATCTAAGTTTTTTTAGAGGACAAATACCCCTATTTATTTTTTTTCTCCTTTTTTCTTTTATAAACACTTTGACTTTTTATCAGGCTTTAATAAATTATTTAGATCATGTTGGTCAATAATTTTTTAAAATAGCTTTGTACAATGTTAAAAAAAAAACTTTTTTAGTGTTCGGTATTATATTATTTAGGCTAACTTAGATGTTAAAGTAACGTTTTATAAAAAGTTATAGTCTATAATATTTAACTTTTAGGGTTTTATAAAAAAAATTATTCAAATAACTATTAGCTATTAAAATGGCTAATACTATTGAACAGACTTAAAAATATCATTTTTGCCAATAAATGCTACTAAATTAGTAAATATAAGAAATGAAAAATCAAAACTACAATAACGTGAATAACAAAATAATTAAATATTATGAAACACCCCTAAAATGACACATTTTAAAAACAATAATTAAATAATTTAATTGTAGATTAAAAAGTGGAGATGAAATAATAATTTTGGTCAAATCTTAAGAGATTTTGTAGTATTTATCTTTTGTATTAACTATGACTTCAAATTGAATAACACTGAATTGCCTCCCTTGAAGACAATATATAACTAGTCATGTATGCGAGCGATGCGCGGACTATATAATTTATATTTTTAAATTAAATTGAATGTAATTTTCAAGAAAATTATTGTGATTTATAATTATATTGCTTTAATTTAAATAATTTACTTAGTTATTTTTAATTAAAAAATATAAAGTAAACTTATAAGCTTTTATATAAAATTCTCAAGTAATAGACTGAAATATTAATTAGCACAATTAATTATTGTAAGTAAATTATTGTAATAAGTAATATAGACTGAAATAATTAATGTAGTCCTCAACAAATTAATTATTGTAATGTAAATTATTCTATAATCAAGTATATAGTTATATTATTATTTTGTTATTTCACTTTTAAAATTCTCATATATTTCAAAATTAGAAATTAGACTGGAGGTATAAGAATATTTAATTTTTAATGAAATAAATTTGATAGCAATTGAAATTTAATTATATTTAATTTTAATGAAATAAAATTTTAGCAAATTGAAATTAATTTTAATTCTATTTGTCAATGTAACTTTATTATTTAATTCATTTTTAGTAATTATGACTCTATTATAACTCCATTATGATTTTTTTATAGATAAAAACTATTTAATAAAAATCTCAATATTTATTAGTATTTATTATTAGTTTGTAACTCCATTATTTTATTAAATATAAAAAATATTAATTAGAATGAAAAAATAAAATGTCACGTCATCAGTTTCATATTTTAATATGTTGCCATAAAAACATATAAGCCTTAAAACTTATATATATATAATCAAAGAAGTTTATCGTAATGATAGTTAAGCCTCGATCTCTCAAATTGACAAATGTAAAGAGAGTAGTTATTTAGCTCATGTTTTATATTTTCAAGTAATGTATTTATTAAGATAATATCTATTAGTTACATTTCCATCAAAATAATGCCATTAAATTAATTTAAAAATATTAAAATACTGTTGGTTCATTTTTTAAGAAAAGAGCAACAAATCCGCTGGTTGACAGCTTCGGTTGTAGAATTGCAGGCGTGTTAGGTGTGTGAATTACACCAATTGAAAAATTAATATCACGCTTAATCTGACTTCTAGGCTGTTGGTTTGAATCTACGGTAAACACTTCATTGGTTGTGCAATTTAAAATAAATTTGAGTAAAGGAAATTGTAAAGAGAGTTTGATTGCTTGAAAAGTAAATTTTGATTGCTTGTATTGAAATGAAAGTTGTAATTACAGGAAATGTAATTAAACTATACTTAGGAAAAATAAAGACAGTGCTTTGAAAATTAAATTGCTTGACTCATTGGAAAATTTGATTTGATTTGTTGAATTCGTCGGAAAATTTGGTTAAGCTTCTCTTGCTGATTTTATAGGTTCCACAGACAGTTATCAAAAGGAACCACTGACACACGTTCCCATTAGTTACTTTGATCTCCCACCTTCCTGTAGAGCAATTGCTAGAGGAGTGCGTTTGAGGAGTGCTTTTTTTTTTTTATTCAACTATAGCCCACGTTTCTATTATCTCTTTCTTTTAATTAATTAATTAATAAAAATTAATTACCCAAAACAATATTAATTGGGCCCTAATTAAATAAAATTCAATCCTAATCCAAAATACTAAGCCTAATTCTAAAAGAATCACAAAATAAATTCAACAATTGCCCCCATATTAAGTTGGCCTGATAAATCATGTTTAATATGTTAATCCATTTTGAAAATCCAAACTCATTTATGATTTAAAATTTTCAAAATTAAAATACAATCACACTCTCTTTGCAGACTCCCAAAATTTAATACTACCCAACAAACAAACAAAAAACCTAACATTTCATTCACCTTCTCTTTCATATCTTTAGGTGCCGCTGTTCACCAAGGTAAGTGCTTCATAGACAAATCATAATCCACCATTGTCAAGCGCACAAAAAAAAAAAAAAAAAAAAAAAAACAAGGTAAGCGCTTCATAGACAAATCATAATGCACCATTATCAAGCATAAAAAAAAAAAAATCACTGTTAGCGTCGTTTGATCCCCAAAGAAATTCACAGATGGCCAATTGCGTTATTTTTTTTAATTCTTTTCTCTTCTTTCTTTTCTTGGCTCTGCTTTAGCCTAGCAATCATTATTTTCTTCAAAATTTTGGCTTTTGGCTTCATTTTTAAACCCTTTTTTTTCCTTTTTTAATAATATATTTATATAATAGTTAATATATATATATATTTAATAGATGGATAATTGTATCTTGTCTTAGGTGAATTTTTTAAAAATCTATATATATATATTAAATAGATGGATAATTTTATCTTGTCTTTGGTGAATTTTTTAAAAATCATAGCTGTGGAACCAATAAAAACTATTCCAGAGGCACCAAATTTTTTACACCAATTCCGTTGGCAACCATTTTTCCAAATTATGGCACCAATGAAAATATATTTCTATCCTAACCAAGGGAAAAACTAGTTCCTCCAATATGAATATAAATTGTGTTGTGAATTATGTACCTTTAATTTTCTGCTAATAGGTTCCACTTCATTTGCTAACTCCTTGGGCGGTGCCCTTGTTAATGCACCAGCTCCTCAAGTAAGTTCCTCTACTAAACTTCATCCTCTCTATTAGTTGTTTCTAGATATATTTTCCGAATTGAGACGACTCCCCTAGCTCATATGTCTTCTGCTCGACAGTCTCCTCTTCTCACTGTTTAAGATTCAGATGTTCCAGTTATCTCTTCTCCACAGGTATGCTCTCTATCGCACTGTCCTGTGTCGCACCTGCAGATGGCTCCTCTTGATCGACAGTCTCCTTTTCTCGCTGTTTAAGATTCAGATGTTCCAGTTATCTCTTCTCCACAGGTATGCTCTCTATCGCACTGTCCTGTGTGGCACCTGCAGATGGCTCCTCTTCTAATTTTATTTGTTTTTTATTACTACAATTGAGGATCCATTACTTGAGATTAACTCCCCCTTTTTTTTTGAGTGATTTACCGTCTTCTTTTCAAATGCAGGCTTGGATAGAAAGCCATGAGACACCTCCTCTGCTATTTCATAGCACCAGTGGACCTAGCACCAATTTCAAGATATGAACCTCGACTGAACCCTTTACACGTTTATGAAAGAAACGGCCAGTAGGCCCGTTTACTTTGTTCATGATTGTCGTCGGATCAGCTATATCACCTGCCTATACTCGTTGCATTGCTTGCTACAGGTGGCCTTTCTTAATGGGGTCGTGGGATCAGCCCCACTGTCATCGCTGATGATCTTTCATTTTCCACCTGGTGGGATAGTACTCCTTGAGGTGACGGGTTCTGGCATTTGTCTCGTGAGGCTCTCCTATACTATTGGATAGCCAATAAGTGTTTCCTCTAAGCCCTTATGACCATAAAAATGTATGATCTTCTGTTTCAGCTTAGGTTTCAACAAGTTGCTAATATATGATATTCTTGAATTCCCAGGGGGTACTGAGGTTGACTTCCTCCAAAAGATCTTGGACTTTAATAAAACCATTGTCCAACTTACGAAATGTTAATTCTTCCCCAAAGATCACTTTAGCACCATCAACCTCCAGGTACTCCTTTGTAGCTAACCTATTAAATAGTTGCTGTAAATAAATTAAGTAGTTGCAGCTGCTGCCATCTCCTTATTAGTATATGACTTAATAGTCATGGAGCTTTGAGATATTAGTCTACCGCTTCAACCTTTTATAAGGCACGATGGCTAATGATGGCGTTGAACCAATTCTAAAGGTCATTACAATTGATGAGATATCATAAGATATGCTAGGATCCTCTGAATCTTCACTAATTACACACCTTAGTTATTTTGTGGGCCCAGCTCCCTCTGAAAATTTTTGCTACCATTATTGTTGTGACTCTTTAGGTGTCTTCAAGGACTTCGAATGAACCTTCGGCTTCTTCAATCGATCAATGATACTCCTCAGATCTACTTCAACAGCGTTGATAGATGCTGGGAAAGGATCCTCATTAATTAACATATGCTCTTTGTCAGGGAACCTCAATACTCCTCTATTAATACGATCCGATAGAGCATTCTTGAAACTCCAACAATTATTAGTATTA